CCGGAACACAACTGTGATTTTAGAGAAATGTATGGTTTGTTCGGGGTCGGGATTCAGGTGAGCCAGTATCATTGTCAGTTGGTGAATTGCTTATCATAGTATAAAGATAAACACACATTGGGTTCTAATCAATACCCATTTCTACTGGTTCTTAACACTAACATAATTTCTGTTTGAAGATTATGAAAACAAAACTCTAGTTGATATTAAGTAAGTAGTGAGTCTACCTTGCCAAATATGAAATTATTTTCAGTATAGTATTGTGATCATGTTCGACCGCTTGAGTTGATATTTTACAGGATGATGATATCTATTGGATGTCGTTAGTATATAGTGCAATCATATACAACAACAGGTTAGTAGCTTAGGATTGTGAAATTGATGTGATAGTATGGAAGTATTTGTGTTTATAATTGTGAAATATTTTTACTAATCATAGTGGTAAATGATTAACCGGTGTTCGATAGTAAAAGGTATGTTGAAACACTACTAGCAACATAAACGGCTCAGCTGACTTTCTTGTTTCATGATATACTAAACGTCTTTCGAAATATGTCAGAGTGCTATATTCTTTACTAATCAATAAATATGAGTCTTTATTTAAGTCTATAATTGAATATTTCATTACATATTAGAAAATAGTAAGAACGTATAATTGCTGATTAGGAAACAGAGTAACGAAACAATGTTTTCTGTTAATGCTGACAGGACAAGTATATGATTGCAATGAGTAATAATACACTATTTAAAGAATAAGACTGATCATAGATTTTAAGAATAACACTAAACGATTCAATGTTTTTATTTGTTCACTGTGTAACATGTTCAACGGTTTAATAAATTAGAGTGTAAACAACCAAATGAAAATTACTCGTCTCATTATTATCTTCTCACTAGCTGACTAGTTTTGAGAAGACCTCACATGGAACCCTCAAGGTAAAAGGAAACGAGGAAAGCCAAGGAACACATTACGTCGAGAAATAGAGAAAGATATGAGAGGACAGAACAAAAATTGGACAGAACTGGAGAGGGAAGCCCAGGACAGAGTTGGTTGGAGAAAACTGGTGGGCGGCACATTCTCCATTGGGGGTAACAGGCGTAAGTAAGTAAGTAAGTAAGTAGGCTGATTAGTTTTATGAAGCTGTTTTTGGTGTTTATAGTGAAAAGTCACAACCACTGGAGTTCAACTGTGTTGAACGTGACGTATTTTTATTCATCGAAGACAATGAATGACATCGTCCAGTATCACGGATCGCTTGTAGCTAGATATAAATGCAGATAAGTTGTATGCATTTGATTGTGAATATTTGGTTTGTTATGTCATAAAATGTCAAAATATGATATAACAGTATGTACAGATAAATATTGAGTAATCATTCCAACGAAATGTTAAATAGAACAAGGGATTTCAGTACTATTCATTGACACTGGTCATTAGATAACTTTTTTGATATTAAAGTCTACTCATTGCGTAACTGTGCACTTATTTATGACTGTTTCATGATGTCATGAATACTTTCACGTCGTCGTTAGAGTTTATCTCCTTGATTTACCCTATTTTCTCATGGTGAAAATGTTACGAACTCTATCCGCTAGCTACTTATTTTCAGGAAGTAGTCAACTTACAGTTTTATACGTTTTTTTCAATGAAATCATTTCTTAAGCCTAACTATAAATTTTAATTCAAGTTCATTGATCAACAAAATGTGTGTTTAAATTCAAACTTTATACAAACCATGATTATTTGTATGATATGTAAGAAGACATTGAGAGAAGTTTTGTAATTTCCCAATGCCACAAGCATATTTCATGCCGACTGCCTCGATCTACTTTTTTTTATTACAAGTTGTATTCTATTTCAACTCATCAGCTAAATGAATATTAGAACACACTTTTATATTAATCGTACTGTGTTCAAAACTCTGTGTAAAATTCAACACTCAAATGCAGGAACATCTAACTGACAAGTCGTAAATTGGATGAAATCCAGATTGTGGATTAAATGTACTAATTACTAACTTACGTACGTACTCACTTACTCACTTACTTACTTACCTACTTACTTACTCACTTACTCATTCGCTTACTTACTTACTTACACACTTACGTACTTATTTACTTACCTACATACTTATTTACTTACTGACTTACTTACTTACTTACTTACTTACTTACTTACTTACTTACTTACTTACTTACTTACATACAGCTATCATTCCACATGAAGCACAGACCTCCAACCAATATTTTCTTTCTTTCCTGATCTAATCAATTATTGTTGTTTTTGTCAGCTACTTCCAAGCCACTTAGTAGTATAACAGTCTGAGGTATTCATTTTTATTTTTTTTAAACCATTATAAATATTTTGTTTATTTACTTTGAATCGTATTGAAAATTGAACAAACAATGATGATGATGATGATGATGATGATGATGATGATATGGACATCCATTAGACCGTGTGTTTTTTTGCTTACTTTTTAATATGTTCTTTAATATATATTTTGCAACATGTTTGATTTAAATGAAAACTGAAAGGAACCGAAACTATAAGCAAAATGTTGTTGTTATTGTTGTTTTTAGTGTTTGTTTTAATTAGAGATGAACAAACAAAACAAAGCGGGAAATTGATTTTTAAAAAAAATTTTTTTTTCGATTGATGATGAATGTGAAATAGAGAAATGGAGAAAAATAATAAATATCAGTAAGAATGATAGTAATAGTAATGATTTATTTATATACATGGACTATTTTTCAGCTTTAGCGTTTTCCATTAGTAATTTTTATTTTCTATGGGATGGAGTTGATAACCCTATGCCCAAAATATCTCCATCGCTCTCTGAGCTTGAGATCGACAGTCACCATAGAAGGACCACAGGTGTAATCTGTGAGCTGTTGTTAAAGCAGCAAGAGAAGACGACCAGTGTAGCAGCTGCTTCAGCAGCAGGAGGTCTCAACATACACAAAGGGAAGGAAAGATTCTCGGATACAACATAACGTGCGCTAATCAAATCACTGTGTATGGAGATGCCTTGAAGGACGGTAACATGTTCACATATCTGAGCTGCATCATCGACAATCAAGGCATATTCGATGCAGTTGTGAAGGTGCAGATTGGCAAAGAAAGGACAACATTTCTACAAGTGAACTGGAACTCAAAACAGCTGTCAGCAAACAACGAAGTCAAAATTTTCAGTACAAACGTCAAGACAGTTCTAATGTATGGAGCGGAAAAATGGAGAACTATGAAAGCCATCATCCAGAAGATACAAGTTTTTATTAACAGTTGTCTACGCAAAATACTTCGGATTCGTTACCCGGATACTATCGGCAATAACGTACTGTGGGAGAGAACAAACCAGATTCCAGTGGAGCAAAATTTCAGGGAAAAGCGGTGGAAGTGGATAGGACACACTTTGAGGAAGCACCCAACCGCGTCACAAGACAAGCCCTCACTTGCAACCCTCAAGGTAAGGAAGGTCAAGAAACACATTACGCTGAGAATTAGAGAAAGATACAAGATAAATGAACAAAAAGTGCACAGAATTAGAAAGGGAAGCTCAGGACTGAGAAGGTTGAATAATACTGGTCGAAGGTCTATGGTCCATTGGGGAGTAACAGTAAGTAAGTAACTGGTTTATACACGATTGTGTTAAAGCTGCACTTATCACGACTCCTAGCTAATAGTCTAGAAATCCTTTTTTCCAAATTTCAAATTTTCCACATTCCCTCGATTCACGAGTGCTGAAAAATGGTTTGCGTTTCGAGTTAAATACTTCGAAAGTAAGTTTACGACTGTGATGGGAAAAATAAACGTAACTTTTCTGTTTTAATTGTGCTTGCTATCAGTCTCAAAGTAAAATTTGAAGGTAAAAGAACACACTACACCGAGATTTAAAGGCAGACATGAAAAGAATGAGTAAGAGCTGGGAAGATCTGGAAAGCGGAGTGAAAGACAGCTTTGTCCAAGAATCCTGATTGGCGGATGTGGATTCTCCTCAAAAAGTCACTTATAAGTAGTATTGAATCATCGCCCAGAAGTCGCTACCAAAGAAAGTAGTATCTGAAGCTCAAAACGCATGGCAGTTGATCGAATTATATTCAAGATATGATGAGATGTGAGACAAGACACTTAACAGCCTGTTTGTACTATAAATGTAGCCTTGAAGATTAGGCAATTATATTTTTTTTTAATAAACTTGATTTTCTCCAAATATACAGTATATCTGGTCTTGACTCTTGTCAACGTGACACTCTTCCCCCTCAATCCAGGTATCGTACGTCAGCTTAAAGTAATAGATAAGGACTATTTAGAGTTCATTGTAATACAAGACAAATTGGACAGTCGACGCAAGTGTTTTATTTTACCTCGTCTCTTTTATACAATACTTAATATCACAGACATATTAACTCATAAACTTAACGAAAGAACTTATTATTCACTGACAGTCACGAATAGTGAATATGAATAAGAAGTATGATTTCATGATGATTGGAACAGGTTCTTTTTGTTCGAATTTGTTTTGGTTTTGAACATCAAACTTTCTTGTTTTTGATAAATTAAAGTTTGTTTTAACTTTATTCGTAATTTCCTTTTCTTTTGGAAAAATGCCATTCTAATTTTAACATAAAATCAATAAAAAAACAGCGATAATTCAACTTTCCAGTCGATTGGTCATTTTGTTGATTACAATTGAAATTACATTATATAAATAAATAAATAAACAAATATATGAACACTCATAAAAAATATTAGTTTATTTAAAACAAAAACAAAAGTTTGTTTTAATTGATTCAATTGGAAAATTGAACAACATATGTACAATAAATAAATTATCTGTTTTGGTTGTTGTTTATTTATATACAAAACAATATCAACGAGGATAGTTATATATATATATATATATATATATATATATATATTATCAATGTTCAATAATCAACAGTTTTCTTGATTCGAAATGAACATTGAACAGTGATTGAACATTTATGTACAATTCTTACGTACTTCCATCATGAATCTCACTTTTTTTGTCAATTAACTGAGTGATATGATCATTCAGAGATTTTTGATGTTCTTTTGTAACCCCCTTATTGATTATTTCATTCAAAGGATCAAATTTATATCGTCTTGATATTGGTGATCTACAACTATCCCAACATTGTTGTATTTCATCTAGGGATGTGGTTCTCTTTTGAAATTCAATAATTTTAATAAACGCTTGACGAAATGTTCGATTATAAAATGCATAAATAATTGGATTTATTGATGAATTAAAATAACCAATCCAATAAAGAATTTCTTTCAGTTCATTTGGATATTGACAATGATTACTGCAAACATTGATGATAGTGTACCAAAGGAAAAATGGTAACCAACATAGGAGGAATGCACCCATCACTATGCCCAATGTTCTAGCTGCTTTACTTTCACTATGTAACTTCACACGAGAACTTAATCGTTCATCAGTAGTAGTAAAATGAAAATTCGATGTATTCTCTTTCAGTTGTAATGGATTGATAGGTTGATCAAGTGTGATTGGATCAGGGATACTTAGATTGAATGAATTCGATTTACTGTTGTTATTATTAGTTTGATTATTGTTATTACTATCACTACTGATTTGTTGAATAATAGTAGTATTGTTGACTTGTGGTTGTGGAGTATGCAACTGAGCAATTTTTCGCTCTTGTTTTCTAGCTTCAATAAATATCCGTATATACACAATGATCATAATCACTGATGGTACCCAAAATGATACACACGACGAGATGATTGCATAATACGGATTCACATCGAAATCGCACACATTCAAACTGTCATCGGATTGCATCACACCATGCGTCGACTGGTTTTTATGATTGAAATAGATTCCATGTGGTTTTTGTGGTTGCTGCTGAGGCTGTGGCTGCTGTGGCTGCTGTAAAGGTTTATGCAATCCAATTAATATTGGCATATACGATATCAGGAATGAGAGAGTCCAAGTGATACCTAACAACGCTAGGATACGTTGTTTCGACATTTTATTTTCATAATTCAATGGGTGTATAATGGCAATGTAACGATCCATTGATATACAACATAAATGTAGTATACTTGATGTACTGAATAGAACATCCGTGGCATTATATAAATCACAAACTAGCTTACCAAATAACCATTGATAATTTAACAATGACATAATTGCATTGAATGGCATGACTAATAGGGCGACAGTGAAATCCGCTACAGCTAAAGACAATAGAAATATATTGGTACGTACATGTCGTAGTCGTTTAAAACGAAAGAAAGCTAAGAAAATCAATGCATTGCCGAATAGCGCTGATGTAATAATGAGAATAAACACAATACCTTTCATACAAATGAATATTTTATAAGCAATAGTGTACGAGTGGAAATATTGATTTAATGGAAACGTGGAATCACGATGATGTTGATGATTATTGAGATTGTAATTGTGATTATTATTAATATTACTATTAGGATGATTATTGGTTTGATATAATGGATGAATAATTTTCAATGTATTCACTTGGAATTCTGTTAATAACATTCGACTTAATTGATGATACAATCTGATCGGATCGATAATGATATTGATAATAATAATAATAGTAATAATGATGTTTTGAATCAGAGGAACAATAAGTGATCGCCTAGTTTGTTTCAATCATATCTGTGAAAACAGAAAGAAATAAGTAAAAAGGGAAGAAAAAATAACATAGAACATCAACATATATGAAAATCTCAGTTATTGTATTCAACAGTGACCAATACAGATCGAGGTTAACAGAACGAGTTGCGGGTCAAACGTGGAGTAATTAGAATAATTCACTTCTGTCTGAAGTTTGTGCTGATGATATTGTTCAGAAGAAGAACAATGAAAGCTTCAAAACCAAAACATCTGGCTCAGAGAACGAAACACTACCACATTCAGTAATTCCTCCTGGAGCCACTATGAGGCTACTGACGGTCTCAAGGGTGGATAAAGCAGGGATGTTGGCCGTGGGGTCTGAGACCAAATTCAGTAGAAAACTAACTCGTTACAAAAATGCTCTGCCCTAAGAGTCAGAAGGTGTTCATTAAAAAGAGCTCTACTGTATAGGGTGAAAACTTGGAGAACTACCAAAGTCATCATGCAGAAGATACAAATGTTCAGTAACAGATGTCTACGCGAAATACTTCGGATCCGTTGACCGTATCCATCAACAACAAAGTACTGTAGGAGAGAACAAATCAGATTACAGCGAAGGAAGGATAGGAAATACATTGTGGCAAGCACCCAACAGCGTTACAAGATATGCCCTCACTTGGAATCCCCAACGGTAAATGAGAAGAGGTAGGCCAAAAAACATTACACCGAGAAATGGAGGCAGACATGAGAAGAATGAACAACGATTGGATAGAACTGGAAAAGCAGGAAAAAGGCAGAGTAAGTTGAAGAATACTTGTAGGTGGGCTTTGCGGAATTATGTGTCACGATTCTGATGGGATATTTGACCATTCTGCTACTATGGTTAGTATGGATATTGAACATCCGAGAATTCAAGGGTCATCAGTAACTCTACAAATACCCACAATTTTTTATAAACTTCGTTCCGTTTCTCTCGTGTTCACGTTGCAGTGTTAATTTAGTCTGGAGTTATTGAAAGTGGATAGGAATCAGATCTTGCTTTCACTTATTTATTAATAATGTATCTTTAGGCCATTTTCAGCTTATAAGAAGCACTGTTAAGTATATGTGGAAAAAGTGTATGGCCTAACTACGACGCTTCAAACAATGTAACATGACATATCTATCCTCTACATTAAACATTTTTTTATCTCTGTCAAACTGACCATGCCTGTGAACCGGCGTGATGATCCTAGGTTTCATATCCAATCACGAAGTCATCGATTCGCACTGCTTATAGCACGGATACAGAAGGCTCGATCGGCTTTTGCCAACCTGCATCACTTATGGAGCAGGCGAGATATCCGTTTGCTAACCAAAGGACGAGTGTACTGTGCAGCAGTTTGCTCTGTCCTACTGTACGGATGCGAGACGTGGGCATTAAGAGTAGAGGACTTTCGTAGGTTACTAGTCTTCGATCATCGATATCTCCGAAGCATTGCTCGTGTATCCTGGGACAACCATATAAGCAATGCTGTCATAAGGAAACGAGTTCTAGGTAGGGATGGCAAATCAATAGATGAAGTAGTGAAACTACATCAGTTAAGATGGTTAGGACATGTGTTACGCATGGCTAACTACCGACTGCCGCGACGAGGTATGTTTCGCAGTGTAGGAGTAGATTGGAAGAGAGCTAGCGGAGGGCAAACCAAAACATGGCACAAATCCATGAAGTCACTGACAAGTGGACTGAGTCATGTTGGTAGATGTAGGCTACTTAGTTGGGGTTCGTGAGACGATAGTCACTGATGGTTAGAGACCTTGAACGACATGGTTCAAAATCGTTTCCTACGGCGCAGGTGCATCCACTCTTTGTGTTCTACGAAATTCTATGCTTCTTCATTCCTCATAATTTCTACCTTTCTCCTTCTAAATTTATCTGACTGAATTACACTTCTCAAATCATATCTTCGCTTCCTAATCTTCTCCATTACTGCTAATACTTCTACTATTGCTATCACTCTTGGATTTAAACTGAAAGTTGCGTCTCTGTGCTGATGTGGTATGGTAACCTGAACTGATGTACTTACATACGAAGTTCTGCGTTGTATCTGTCCGCGCTGCTTGTGATTCGCCTATTAAGACAAAACAGCACTACCAATATTTTCAAGCTTTCACGAATGCTATAACAGTGATTCATTCATACGTTTCTATTTAATATTATAGATTTCATAGTTCGCGATGATATGACAGCTTTCAGCCGGATAACTTTGAATGTGTTCAATTCATTTTGCAATATTGTAAATGAATGATTAAATTTTAAAGCTCATTAGCTGATTTTACAGAAAGTTAACTTTCATTCAATAAATACAACTTGATCTTGAGATGGTGAGTAAAAAAATGTTTTTAGCTCGGTTATGGTTGAGTTTCATTGTTTGAGCTGGATCACTGTGCTGTGGAGCTGTCAGTATTCTTCTTCCGAAAAACATTATCAGTAAAAATCTTCAGGTAGAATTGCAGTATTCAAATTGTCACTAGTATGACTCGTAGCTTATCCTGTTGACCTTGATTTTGATTGGTTACTGTTGATCTTTACCTTGGTGTTATCAGCATCTTTATTCGTCAACCATTGAGAAAAATCATAGACATGCATAGAATCAAGAACCAAACCAATGAAGGATGCAATCAAAATAAACAGGTAGACTATGACAAGCCGAACGTCAATAACGATCAATCAAGAATAAGGTCAACAGGACAGTCATACGTAGAGAAATTTGAGTACTTCACTTCTGTCTACCTGAAGTGTATGCTGCTGCAGCTGCTGTGGATTTGGTTCAGAACACTGATGAGAGCTTCATAACTGAATCATTCAGTTTACTGAACTAGTTTATAAAACTAGAGTTATTCAGTAACATATTTTTTAATACAGACAAATGTTAAATGATAGGTATACTGAATATTAAATCATATTACAGAGAATTCAAAAACAATCTGATTTATTTTCAGTCTCAAACATTCATCAGTATTTGAACAACCATTTTGACAAATACTGAATACTAACAGTATATATAGAAGAAATGATCAGTGAAAATTAAGTTTTTCCTATAAAACTTTGTGTAATTTTGAAATTTTTAGAGAATTTCAATTTTTCATCAAGTCAAACCTGTTTAGATTTAGATTATTACCATGGGGAAGTCTAAATATATTTATTGGATGAAATATGTTAGAAATTTTCAAAATAACTGAAATTTTTTTAAAAAATACAATCCTGTCAAGTGGGGAACAGTGCTCACTGAAGACAGTGGGATGAGAGTGTGCACTGCTTTAGATTGATTCAAAGTTGGACAGTAATACCGTTGGATACTGGCTCACTGGTCTAAAGGTTAAGCATTCACGAGCAAAACTGAAGACACTGAATTGGATTCTTGTGAGTGGGTATTCGTGAATGCGTACTGCAGATGAGCTCAAAATAGGACGAAACGAATGTATTTCAGTGCAAGTCTTCTAGATGTCTAATGATTATCTAACATTACTCGATTCATGGTTATAATGAAGCTCAGCAATCATCACAACATCATAGTGAAAGTATAACAAGAATCAATATTATCTATAAACCAAGTACCAATCATAATTTTGTCATACGTAAAACAAATATAGGTTAAGTTGAAAAACTATTGTAAAAGGTTTCTCATTTTATCCTAGTGAGTTTGTTTAGAATTTATTAGGATTCGAAATTAGTTGGCACATATCAAAAACAAGGAACAATCGATTTGTTCTATTGTGGAACTCATCAGCAGTACGCATCCATGACAGCTAAACAGTGAATTCGAACCTAGAACTTACGGTCTTGCAAGTGGATGCTTAACCTCTAAACCAATGAGCCGGCATCCGATAGTGTTAACGTCTTACTTTATTAAATTCATAGTCGTCGATGGGTGGTACCTGTCTCACTCTTGACACAGTTCAGCTCCACTGGACAGAGCTTCCCATTGGTAAAGGATTGAATCATGAGTTCAGCAATTCATATTTATTATTTATGCAAGAGTGAAACTTAATCTGATCGACGATTGTCATGAATACATAGATCTGTCTGACTAACATCAAATTCCACAACATTTATGTGATTGCTACTCTATTTCTTGGAATTCATAATTTCACACATTTGAAATCATCAATCAGTCATTGTTAGACCAACATTAGAAACCTGGAAACACCAAAGGAGGTCGTTTCGTCCTGGTATGGGACTCATCAGCAGTGCGCATCCACCACTCCTGCTCCTCGCAGGATTCGAACCCGGGACCTTTGGCGAACGCCTTAACATCGGACCACTGGGCCGGCATCCAACGGTGTTAATGTCTAACTCTGATTGATCTAGGGATTTTGTGCGACCTCACCCATTTGTCTTTGGTAGTTACTGCCTACACCTGACAGGGTTGAGCTTCATTGGCCACGTTTTCTCAATTAGAACTCCGAGAATTTCCTCATGAAGCTAGTCACTACTGAGCACTGTTACGATATTTTTAGGGCAGACTTTTGGAGGTTTGTGTTTGTTTTACACATTTGAAATCATCATCGTCGCGGATGCGCACTGCCACGGATGAATCATCGCATACCAAGACGTAATAGCCGTCAGTCAACCCCGTCCAGATTTCTAACGGTGGTTTGAAAATGATTGAATTTTTTTTGGGGGATTTCAGACATTACGTTCATCAACGATGTAAACAAAATTCAACAAGACATTGTTTCAAAAAAAACAGTTTCTGCTTCAATTATCATCATTATCAATGATCAAAGAAATACAAAACTGAGGCAAAAATATGAGATAAGAACATTTTTCAAGAAACACATTGATATTTGTTTGTTCAGGAAATTCTCAGTATAATGTAACATGTTATTTAACACAAATTCTCATGTATCTAACTTATTAAATATACAACAAT